GCCGCAATTTTCCTTAAATTGTGTATAAAAAATAGCACCAGTAAATCTCTGTATAATGTGTCGAAAAATATTTTTTTCATATATACCTACAGAAACTTTTAAATTTAATTAAAAATATATATTCACAATTAAATGTACAAATATTCAAATATATTTTTTTTCTGTGAAATGTAAAATCAGAAAATATATGCAATATATATATAATAAACAATTATAAAGAGTTAATAGAATTTTATGATTAGAAATAAATTATCAAGTTAAAATGTTTCTTGTATACTATAGTCTTGGGACTATGTAATTCTAATACAAAATAATTTTTTTTTAAATATTTGGTTTTTATATAGAAGATTTCTTTTATATAAGGAAGTCATAGGATAGCCATTGAAGAAAGAGAGAGATAAAATACGAGTCAGAAGCAGAGATTTACTAGTGCTATAGGTGAAACCATCACCACTAGAGTGCAGCATCTCATTGGTACTCACTTAGCACCCTCTGTGTAATTCGAAAGCAGCCCGATACTCTGGTAGCTATCTCATTGTGTGTGTCAGCTTCCTGTAAATTATATTTAAATATATATTAATAATTGTATAAAATATTTATTCTTAAATAATAATGTATTTTTCCCTTTGATATTGTTAAATTTATATAAATATTAAACCGTTATCGACAAAATATTATTTAAAAAAAACCACACAAATCTAGATAAAGTGTCGTGAGTATTAAGTAGAACAGGGAATAATTGAAGAAATGACTAATATAATAAATAATATATTGTAATATTATTTAATAAGATCAGATTTAACTATAGAAACAAACAATATTATCTCCTAATTTTTAGATGAAAATATGTATAGCACACACACACACAAAATTAATTTTAATGTTAAGAATTAATTAGGAATTAATAAAGTTAATTTGATAAAATAAGGACACATGTACAATTACATATATAAAATTTAACGTTGACTTCCAATAATTCCTCGCACATTTTCAAACAGCAAAATTAAAAAGAGAGGAAGAAAGAGAGAGAGAGAGAGAGAAATATACTTTTAGACAATAACAATTGTGAGACGGAACGGTTTGAATGCAATTTTACGATCCGTCGTGGTGTATTTATTGTGTGTGTGAGTGTGTATGTGTGTGTGGGTGTGTGTGATTGCGATTCGAAATATTATAGAGCGATATTTCTTAAAGAGCGATATACTACGATCCTAAAAGTACCGGAATTATCTGTTTAAATTGTATTTTCTGTACTTGACATAAGATAAACATATATTTAGTGTTTGGAGAGACGATATGCACATATCTAGGGATGATCGTGCATCGATTATACCTTCGTTGTCCTTTGGAGGGGTAGTCGAGCCGTTAAAGATTGCAATATGGCGTAAAGGATTTCGATCGATTTCACAGATACAAACGGCATCGATGCCGAATCGCGATATTGGCGCGATAATACCGATCGTGCTTGATACATCATGAACACCCGACACTTCACACGACATTCGCGATTAGTTTTCGCGCTCGAAATCCATTTTTTTAGACAATAATAATCGCGAAAAGCACGAAGCGATTTGAATGCGATTCTACGAGCCACCGCGACGCGTCCATGACTAACGATCTGAAGTGCAATGATGATCTATCTTCCAAGCGCAATTGCGATTCTCGAAACTATGAGTGCATTGAACTTGTCGCGAAGAGCGGATAAGCTCCCATCGTACTTTTCGAGCTACGCAATTCTCATAATCTTTTTCTAGTCAATGCTATCTCGCTTTATCTCTAGAATAATAATAATATTTAAACAAAAGATTTTTCTCAACTACGCGATAAACCTTATATGATAAATCATGCAACTATGTAGTTAGCGATATTATATCGACAGTAGGTAACGAATAACAAGCTTCTGTGTCGCAAGCATTAATTCCCTGCAAAGCGGGAGAAAAGAGACAGAGAGAGAGAGAGAGAGAGAGAGAGAGAGAAAGAGAGGACATAAAATTAATCGGCTTCAACGTTTAAAAAGAGAATGCAAAATACAAACTAGATTTATACTACAGAGTCTGTCCTCTCTCCTACATTACACCACCAATATGAACTTCTTGTACGTAATAATTCACGCGTACAATATACACACAACATATCTGTTTACGTTGAAAAAAATAAACACAACGAATACATTTTGCGCCGCTACAAACGGTGACGTGTAACGCTAACTGACGGACGCTTGGCAAAGCAACATCAGCTGACCCCAAGCATCACAGGCAACGGTAGATGCATTGTATATTGTATACGTAAATAACACGACGCGTACGGACAGGTTGTACAGTGAGCAGTTCTCCTCGGTAAGCGACGAACGACAATGGTAGACTTAAAGACAAACGTCAGTTTCGCGTGTCAACGGTGTCTACAACCGTTGAAACTAGATTCGAGTTTCGATCGTCTCGGGGAGCACACTCTCGCAGAACTCTCACGTAGGTAATTTCTATTTTCTACTGGCAATTCTCGATGTACATCATTGAGTCGATTGCCTCGCCACTGTCGCGTTGATAATACACTTCTTTGTATATATTAGTTACTTACAATTAATGTACGGCGCATTATAATTTGCGTTTTCGAAATCATTGTGAATAAAATTTGATTTTTCTAATTAATTCCATAACGAGCGTAAGCTCTATTAAATGGATACATCTACCATTGAGCATCTATATGTCAACAATATGGCTTTTATATCTACAGATAGTATATCTAAATTATTATGTACATGCAATGCCACTTAGTGCACAATAACAAGCCATTTCAGCTCTTAGTGATTTATGCAGACTATATAAAAAGTGTTATATTAATTATTCTATATATCTTTTGATTATACATGAATATTTGACGACAGATATAAAATAAAATCATTTAATATTTTATATTTTATCATTTTTAGACAAGTAGCAAATGTTACATAATTGTTATTTTATTATAGTTCCTATACAACAACAAGTTGTCGGAGAATTAGAACCCCAGAGTGATAGTATAGAACACTTAGTTCCACCATTCAGATTGACTGAATCAGGAAATGGTACAAATGGATTTATGTTAGTTGGCGATTCGGGTGAAACAGAAAGCTTAAGCCATCATTTAAAGGTACAAAGAGATTTAAGAGGTATTTTAAATGAAATCTGTACATGTTATGTTCTGATTGATATTTTTCAGGTGCGAGCAACATTATTTGACATTCTCAGCAGTAGTAGTGCAGCAGATCATCCACTTTGCGATGAGTGTACCGATAGCCTTTTGCTATTAATGGATCAGCAATTACGAATGACAGAAGGAGAATGGTCAGATTATAATCAGTACCTGAAGAAACTAGAAATTGAACAGCAATATCAAGGACATGAAGATGTAGAGATGGAGAATCTTACAAAAGAATTGCAGGATGTAAAGGCTGAGGAAGAGAGAATGATAAGAGAATTAGAGGCATTGAGAAAAGAGGAGATAGCCACAAAGAATGCCATAGTAGAACAGGAAAGAGAAAGAGAGAGATTACAAAGCGAGGAGGACAGGTATTGGAAAGAATATTCAAAGCACAGAAGAGATCTCATGTTAGCTGAAGATGAATGTCGCAGGTAAGTAAGCCTTCTCGAACATTTGTCTTCTTTTCATATATAAAAAATGATAATTGCATATTAATATTTTTATTATGGAACTTAAAATGGAATATTTCCATAGCCTGGACAATCAACTGGCATACGCAGTTTCGCAACTCGAAAGGTTGAAGAAAACGAATGTTTTCAATGCCACATTTCACATCTGGCATTCGGGCCACTTTGGAACCATAAATTCATTTCGATTAGGACGATTGCCGAGTGCGCCAGTGGATTGGAGCGAAATAAACGCCGCTTGGGGACAAACGACTCTTTTGCTAGTGGCTCTAGCGCGCAAAATGAACTTAACGTTCAAACGCTTTCGTTTAGTGCCGTTTGGCAATCACAGTTACATCGAGGCATTAGATCAAAACAAAGAGCTTCCATTATACGGAAGCGGAGGATTCAAATTTTTATGGGACACGAAATTCGATGCAGCTATGGTGGCGTTTCTGGATTGTTTGCAACAATTTAAGGAGCAAGTGGAAAAAGGAGACAGTGGATTTTGTCTGCCATACAGAATGGACCGTGGCAAAATTGAAGACTCTGCGACAGGCAATTCGTATTCCATTAAGTATGTTTGAGCATCTATAAACTTTGATTATATATTAAGTGACTCAACCTGTACTTGAGAAAATCAATATATAAAATACATCCTATTTAATATTTCTTAATCCTTTTTTTTTTTTTTTTTTTTTAGGATAAAATTAAATTGAAGAACAATGGACTCAAAATTGAAGACTCTGCGACAGGCAATTCGTATTCCATTAAGTATGTTTGAGCATCTATAAACTTTGATTATATATTAAGTGACTCAACCTGTACTTGAGAAAATCAATATATAAAATACATCCTATTTAATATTTCTTAATCCTTTTTTTTTTTTTTTTTTCAGGATACAATTCAATTCGGAAGAACAATGGACTAAGGCCTTAAAGTTCCTATTAACAAATTTAAAATGGGGTCTTGCATGGGTTAGCTCTCAATTTACAAAAGATGAACTGAATATTAATTGAATGTCAGTGCTTGTAAAATTTTGCGTAACTTTAATTATGCAACTATCCCATAATTACTTGTGTATAAATGCTCTATTTGTAAATAAACGCGGTTGAACGATACTGATTTTAATTATAATTAATTTAGAAAGTTAAAATTGTAATTAATTTAGAAAGGTGTAATTTTCAGAATCAATTTTTTTTTTATTTGTAACTAATTTGTACTGCTTTATTTTATTTTAGATAGCAGAATGACCTTTAGTTTTAATCTATGAACAGTATTCAGATTTATTAAATAGAAACCAAGACACACCAAAGAGGAAGCTGGATGGGCTTTGTATTTCCTTGGATTTCATGTAGTCTCTTAGTTCTGGAATGCTCAATTCCACTACTTCTATAAGTTCACCTTCAGACTCAGCACCACCACCTTTAACATAAAAAATTTAATTGAACAAATTGCTTGTATAATTGAAATATGGTGTATCGATAAAAAAATAATATCCTTTGTAAAATTACCGTGTGCGATAAAAGATCTATTTTAGAAAAAATATTTACAATTTGGACTTACCAGGATATATATGCATATCATCTGTGACTTCTACGTAGAAAAGGGTTTGCTTTGCACTAGCAGAAGCACTGGATCTAAAAAATAAGAATACAAAAATTTTTTTAATTTATGCTCTCTATGATACAATTTATTTTATTCATCAAAACAAATTGTAATTATATGTAAATAAAAAAAAAAGCTTTATTACAAATAATTTAATATACTAAAAATTTGCTATATTTCTCATTTATATAAATTGTAAAGGATAGTAATCGAGCTATATATAGCATAAGTATTGTATAATAAAACTTACAAATAGGTGGAGATTTGCTTAAACGCCGAAGTGGGTGCTTCATAGCCGCACTCTTCTCTTAATTCTTCCCTGGCGATCTCGACGAGAGGCTTGTCCTTATCCACGATACCAGCGCAGAGCTCCAAGGTCACTCCGAGTGTCGCGGGATAACGTTTGACATCGATCACGTCTTGCTTCTCCGGTAGAAACGCGTAATATACTGCTGGTCGAAATTGCCTGACAAACACGAGCCTTTTTCGACTTACATTGAAGATAATTATACACACGCTGTCGTGGATTCTTATCACGTCCCACTCCTTACGCTGGCCGTCTTGCGAATATTGTAGACGGACGTTTCTCAACCATGGCGAGTCATGCGGTACTTTTCCCACATGGACGTCGTGCAGATCGAGCATCCGTCTACGCACAGTCTGATTCTTCTCATCCTGTGTCGTGACATTCATTCCAATTGCCAAAATACGACGAAATAACACCGAGCACCGACTAGGCCGATTCATTAACTCTTGTCGATAACGAAAGCTAATTGGATTGGAGACGCGCGGAGACGACAGATGTCGCGCATGACACCAAGTGCGAGAATTTGAATTGAACGGAAACTAGAGCAAGTTAAACGGTCAAGCGGTGAGGAAGATTTGTGCTAGAGAAAGATTTCGTGCCATCCGGCTTGATTAACTTGAGTTTCGATAAACTGCGTGGAGCTTGTCATTCTTCTATGGTGTCTTCTTCAATTAGTGTGACGGATTCCGTCGTTGGTGAGTTCTAACGAATAATATTTGATTATTATATATAACGTGCGTGCTCTCTCTCTCTCTCTCTCTCTCTCTCTCTCTCTCTCTCTCTTTCTCTAAATCTATATATTTTATAAACGTTTACGCACATAATGGCATAGAACTATCTAAAGTTATTGCAAATATGAAACGTTTTTTTGCTTAATAATAAAGTAATAATAGACTCTTTTAGAGAGATTTATAACGGATTAATTTTGCACTATATGATTTGAAAATGTGTGAGTAGAGACAAAAATACATGTATATAGATATATTGTGATATGTCTCGCTCTTCCTGCCTTTAAGTATGTAATATCGATTACTTTAACATACCGAGATATTAAATTTACAAGGGACGTAATCGCTTCATCTTTTCGCGATAAATTATTTTTGCAATTAGTTGATCGGGCCCGTGAAAAGTACGGGGTACGCATAATCGAGTTTTAACGCGTCGTATGAAATTAGGATCGTTATAACGTTTACTGGCCGCGTGGCGCGCACTGTACTTAAATTTTTCGATGAGATACGAACCTCCGATAAAGCTGCTTTCCTTTCACGATCCGATGCTAACGATAACGAGCACCGCGGCGGGAAGGGGGGAAACGGTAGGATTTCGTTACTTCTTTCCTTTCTTGCCCTTCTTTTCCTTTTTCTTGGGTGCGTCGACCGTTGATTTGAAGGCGTCCAGGATCTCCTGCTGCCTGACCTGAGTGTCCACGTGAATCACGTCCGGTTTCCTGCGGTACCTGTTGACCGCTGCTGGTGGCGAGAACTCGATCTCCATGTCTGACGCCGTGGAACTCGTCGCGACGGAGGCGTCGTCCTTGTTGCGTACTATCTTGAACTGGAGCGGCTTCATCGGCTCTTCAAGCTGCGGCACATCCGCGGTCTCCTGCCGAATCGGATACATCGTCACGTAATACGTGCCGTCCTTCCGATGGATATGCAGGGTGGGCGGCGGTTCTACTTCATCTTCGTCTTCCTTCTTCAGCGAACTGTAGCTCAAGCTCTTGTACAACTTGCCGCGACGCAAGCCGGTGCGCGAGGGTGTCAACCTCGGTCGACTATGTTCCAGCAGGGAAACGCCCTTAGCCTCCTTCAACAATTCGTTCAAGAAACGGCTAATCGCGCCCGGTTTCCAACCGATACGCGGATACTTCAGCGTGCCTACCATCGTGCTTATGTTCCATAACCAGCCCATGTTAGCCGGCACCCTCAATCGCGGATCGATGCAGTTCTTGTGGCCGTAATTAGTCCCGGGATAAACGTTCCCGATCGAATAGATGTGACGCATCACGCGTTTGCTAACTTTAATTGGCTGGAGATCGTTCGCGACGTTGCGATCTCCACCCGGACCAGGTGGAAGCTTACCCTTCGGCTGTCGTCTTTTGATGGAGTGACTAACGCCCTTCACCCCGATGCTCGGCGGTATCGAGGATTTCTGCGATTCTTCGACGGTTTCCTGCGGTGTCGTCACCGGATGGTCGCTGTGGGGTTTTTTTCGGCGAGATTTGCATTTTGGTTCGCCGCAGGGACCGACGTCGTCGTCCGATAGCGCGGTCGACGTAATTTCCAGCTCTTTCTCCTTCTGCTTCTCCAACTTTTCTTCCTTTTTATCCTCCTTCTTCTTCGGCTTGACGGAGATCGGGACTAGCGTCGCTTCCGGGAAAGACGGTATCGCTTCGCGTACGACACCGGTGCGTCCTGGGACCGCTGTCATTGTGGTAATGGAAGTCATATAACTGTAAGCTATAGAAGGGTCGCTGACGACGGGCTTACTAATCTGCGTATTGCAAGGGGCGGTACATTGTAAACTCGGCAATGTCGGGACGGGATATGCTCGTTTTCTCTCGCTCGGCGTTTCCTGGACGACATAATCTTTATCAATGTCCCTTCTGAAATAGGGACTCTCGGATGGATCCATCAAGCCGAGGCCTACCAGACCTGGCACCTTGCCAATGGAGTCCACGAACTCTTGAGCCTCCTTAAAGGCACGTATCATGCAATCTGCGCCCACGCAAGGTTTCTTCGTGCACGTCGAGGTTCCCGCTCTCCAAGACGACAGATTCTTCCCCGGACAAACGCAATTCGCTGCCGCCTTCGCTCCATCTGTGGTTCTTGGACGTGATTTGTACGGTGAGTCAGTACCAGTTTCCTTACTTTTTTCATATATGACACTAGTCGCTTCGGAAGCTGCGTACGACGCACCATAGTCGCTTCCGCCCTTCATGCGATTTTTAAAATTGTTATTTTTGTACCACATATACTCCTCGTTCCATACCGCATTGCTATTTAAATGATTATCGTCTGTGTTTTCGCCACCTCTCATTCTCATATTGTCGTAAAAATTTACGTCCTGTTCCGCACCTGATTCTAAATGTAAATTGTCGACGCAATCGGTAGCGAGTGATGGAACGTTTTTGAGAATATCGGGATTTCTCAAACTCATGCAACAAGAGCGAACGCATCCGGAACGACATATCATAGGATGCGTCGATCTATTTGTCGGTAGACACGAACAAGTAGGCTCGTTCGGATATATCTCGTAAATGAAACCGCGATACTTGCGGTCGTTTAGTTTTTCAGCGCTCGTGAGCTTTTCGAATCCCGGTTGGTCCATTGATATACGAGGCGGCGATTCTGGTCTCGTCAACGCGAAACGCGCATCTGTATCTATATCTTTTCCGTCATGTAATTTCGAATATGCGGGATCTAAAATCTTACTCAATAGTAAGAACGTGTTATCGTTGCGTTTCGTCCTATCTTTCTCATCGCTTATATTTTCATCGGAGAGTCTCGCGCAACGAAATTTCGCACCGAGAGGAAATCCCCGAAACACAAACGACTTTTCATGAAGCGTAAGATGATTGATAATGGAGCTTCCGAAACACGACAGTCTCAAATACATCGAGATAGATCCGCAAGGATGTCCTTGTTCGTTGGTCAAGGTGTAAACCTGCATCAGCGTATACGGTTTCGGTAGTCCGTCTATCTTGTCCTTGGCCGCGGTTACGCGATCGCAGAAATATACCGGCAGAAATGCCGTTGCCGCGCAGATAAGAACCTGGCCGACGTTATCTTGCAAGTTACGATCCTCTTCGCGAAGATTTCGATACACTTCGACGCTCAGAGGAGTCGATTTTATAGATCGTATTAAATTACTCGGCGTTCGAACGAACAGACACGTCTTACCCTCGTAGTTGATGTACTCATCGGAGAATCGTCTTTTTTTGTTCTTACTTTCTTTGCCTTTGAGCTCGGCCAATTGCTCGGCGATGATATCGACAGACGTGAAATCGATGAAGCTTACACGTATCATCAAATCGTGCTCTTCGTTATTAATAATCTTCTCAGGACATAGATTTAAACAATCAACGAGAATTTCAAGCATGTACAATTGTTCTTTTTCCAACTTCGGCGTTTTTTTCTTTTTCAAGGCCATTTTGCATGAATCGAGCACGGGAATTGATAGACACGCGCGTGTTATCGGCAACACGATAAATTTGGAAAACGACTCTGAATCGACGTTAACGATGTATCTGTATGAATCGCGCCATTAATTTTGCGAGCGTTTCGGGCCGGAAATTTTCCCTCGTGCACGTTAAACCTCGAATCGGTCAAATGACGTTTCCAATTGTCAGACGGTCACCATAGCGACGAATCTAAAATAATTACTCGACTAATGCAGAGAATCTCACTTCAGAACTCGAACATTTTATTGGAACTCGTAGAGATCATTTTTTGCCTTTTTTCTTTTTAGCTTTCTTATCTGTTTTCTTTTTAGGTTTCTTATCTTTTTTCGGTGGTTTCTCGAGTTTTGTAATTTCTACCTTCTCAGGAATTTCGAGAAACTCGGGCGGTACGAATCGTTTCACATAGATTTCCCGTTCCTTGTCTTGTTCGCCGGAAACGAGAGATTTCGGAAGTAATTCGTAATTCGTCCTAGAAATACGTCCGAGACATACGATGACGAGCTCCATGTGTAGCGTACCGGACGGATTCTCGCCCGGATCGAGAAGGTGAAAACCGCCCTTCACTATAAATGGTTTTGGTTTATTGCCGGGATCGTTGTCGATCATGGCGATCTGATCACAGAGGCAGCCCGGCAGGGTTAAATCGGTCTCCGCTGTAGGATAAGTGTCACCCCCGCGAAACACGCCTATTCTTACTTTTTTCGAGCGAAGTTCGTGAACAAGATCCCGCGGTCGCTTAATGAACAGACAGCATTTGCCAATCAGGAAACGCACGTCCTCCTGACCGCGCTTCGACGCATCCGAGTCGCGCGTAAACTCGAACATGGGAAGATCTAAGAATACGATCTTAACCACGATAGGATGTTCGCCGATGTCTTTGATTTTAACGGGCGTCAATGTCAATTTATCGATCAGTATCTCGACTAGATAGATCTGCTCGTTGTAGCCGCCGAGGCAAGACATGACGTGAGGCACTTTCCGCGGGGAATTAAGTCATATATGTCATTAAGATAAATTCGATTGAGTCATTGATATTTTCGTCTAAGTACTTGAAAGAATTTTGTAACGAGAATTTTGATTGTCCAAAAAAAATATTGTACGTAGAATTTTTATGCCAAAAATTTGGAGGTTCAAAAATTCTGGTTGACAGATGGAAGGGAACAGTCGAATCTCGATTTATGTCAACGTGGTAATCGCCAATTAATTCGAGTCGTACGGGTTTTAGGTTTTATTCGCGTCTCCAATGCGCCTCGATCGCCGACCGGTCATTTCGCTGAATTTTATGCGCAGAACAAATTGGACTTTGCCGAGATAACGATCGAAGAAGATTAATTCAATCGACATCGCATACAAAATGTTCTCTTGACGCGTTTCCTAGATAGATTTTAAATACCATCTCGTGCGCAGTTTCTTCCACTTCCGCATATGCACGTATGCATCGTCATCGGGAGAGAAAAAGATTATCAACTTACAGTCACGTACATCCCATCCACTATCTGCGCGACTCTTCGGCGTTTCTAATTCCATTGGCAGTTATTACTTAGCTCTCACAGTGGTATATACTTAAACCCGAGGGACGCCGCTAGAACCGTTACGAAAACCTGCGAGGTAGACACGACACCCTCGCAAATTCATACTTTCCGTGTGTTCCCCATTAAAAAGAGTAATTGGACGAACGAACACCCACGCATGTATCTGCGAAACGTGCGATTCACCTGCTCTCAGTTCTTTGACGATGACCGAGTCTTGTTGATTTGAGCTTAAAAAATAGAATAAAAGACACGCTCTTTCCTTATGTGGCGTGACAAATTTATCTAAAGCAATCGAATTTTTGCTAAAGAAAAATAGCTTTCAAATCCCTCGTCAAATATATATGTTACACAAGATTTTCAATTAAAAATATACCTGCGATAATATTATCACTTTCTTTTTAACTAAATAAAGCCTCTTTTTCTTAAACTATTAATTTGTTTGAAAATCAATCGTCGCATTGGTGATGAATAATCCTCCAAATCGACGAGATTTCTCGACCATTTGGAACGTTTATTTCGTACACTTCGACGGGAGCAGCACCGAGCAACATTTCGAAGGGCTCTGAAACACCGAGAGCCCAAGTATGCACTAATTGGTACGGGCGCGCGCGCGCACACGCACACGCATACGATCATTCTGAAGCGAGATAGGCGGACGAATGGGACGAACAGGATGGACAACGAAGCAGGATGAGAGATATATCCTGAACACATATCCGTGGATGCCCGTGCACAGTGGAAGCTGCCGAGGCCTCGAAGTAAAATTCCGGACCCGGGCGACACGGCGGCTCGTTAAAATGTTTGTGGGGATTTTGGGCGCGGAACGTTTCTCAGATAATTGGTGATTAGCGATTAAAACGGATGGATGCATGTTCTCTCGCCGCGCCGTCTTTTCCCTTTTCCTCGCGATCTGCCATCCGCGAGGACCAGGAACTCATAATACTCTCCCGGTCTTAGAGAGGTCCTCAACATGTTACTCATTGCTTTCGTCTCTCGTGCCTCGTAACGGTGACAATCTTCTCGCTTCCTACAGCCGCCTTTTTCTCCTCGACAAAGAAACGTCTTTTAATCGTGCGACCCGACCGTCACAGGATCGCTTTCCTCCTCGTCGACTCGCTCGTGGTCGTTTCTTTACGAGAGCATGCCTGGGAATCTGAACTGCCTCGGGTCCGCGGCAATAATCGCAAGGGTATTCGAATGACCGGAAATAACGATCGAACGAGTGGACGTTAATTCGCCGTGGATTCTTTATGCGAGAAGGAACTTATCGTCCTTCTAAGCGCTCGCACTGTTCGTAAAGTAAAAAGTATTCGAGTTCTGTTTTTAGGTTTTCGCACGATGTCGTTTGTCGTATGCAACCGTCGAATTAATATTACGTTGTTTCCTGCTATGGCAAATATTAATTAACCGTGCACTGGTGTTATCTCAAATAAGATACCGTGCACACAACTAATTTTTAAAGAATTCAACAATGTGCAATAATTACGCGTATGCAGACTGATCTCATAGCACTCTGCCGTGCTGTCGTAATTTGTAATGTATTTACGCTAGAAACTCACGAGTGCGGGCTTAAACAATAGCAACAGTACGTGAAGAATAGTCCGTAATCAAATTAAGTGTCGCGTGTCCGCTTAAGGATTAATCACTGTAATCTACAATCTTTCCACGATAGCGCGCCACGACGGGTACCCCTCATTTCCGGTTCCATCAATGACCGTTATCTGCGCACGTCATTGCAGGATGCATTTAAGAAGATGCATGGAATGTACTTTGCGACAGGATGAGACGTACATTAAGACGCCGTGTCTATTTTCTGTTGCTCCTAAGTGGACGCACTGCTTATAAACGTCATGGAGAAACCTTCATCGTGCACAAGACGATCCCACGACGTTATACATCAATTATTCGACTCCCTATACGTAGGTAGGTAGCTCCTCTCTCTTGATTCTACTCTTGTATATACTCGTTACAATACATACGGAGAGCAGAGCATATACTCTACTGGAGTCTCGAAGTTCATCGGCAATTTGAATAATTTTCTGCTAAGAACCGTTTCTCGTTTCGAATTCACCCAACGCTGTAGCTTTTTGCATCGCGGTGCCCTTGTTTTTCGTATCGAAATACAACTGAGTCTCTTTATAATGATATTTATGTATATATCAAGTCAGATAAACTTTTTTCCTAAGTAGATTTTTTTTTTCTACGATTCTTGCAATTTCGATATATAATATTCAGATAATTATCAACATGTTCAGCATACGTTTGTTTATCGTTAAAATACAATCATGCATAATGCGGTTGTTGTAAATGATATTGCTTTAAAATTCAAAGTAACATACATAAAGAAAAAAAAATCAGGCAATCAAGTGAAAAAATCATGCTTCATTCGTTTACACTAATTGGAGTTATAATTACGTATCGTTAATGTATCAGCATCGCAATTTTTCGAACCGTAATTTGCGAGAGATTCTTTACGTCGAAAGAAACTTATCGTTTCTTCTTAAGATACTTTTTAAAGCCTGCTGAATCCTGTTTCGGCTCCATCTCAGTATCGTTTGTTCCTTGTACGTAATTATATTTGATAGATAGTAAATGTCACCATTATTTCAATCTTTTCTCGATATTCGTATCATTTGAATTATGTTATTAGATTAACTTATTCGCATATGCATTATCGATAATTATCAGTTAACATTTAAATCCGCGCGTGCTTCATATGAATAATTCAATATTAATTCCAACAGAATCGACATTTTGATAAATAGCGGAAAAGATATGTGTCGGAATGTTATATTTATCGTTTTAAAAACTTGTTTTAAAAAATTTTTATTGCGGAGAATACGATATTTGTTAGGCAATAAAATATCATTAATTATTTATATATTAAAATCTGTAATGGACTAACGATGAATTAACCTTTGGTGGTTTAAGTGGTATATGTCGATCTATCAATTCGAAAGAGAGAGCACGTCAAGAATCACCATCGTGCGACGCGACCGCTCGCGGGTAAAAACGAGGCGTCACGATGCGCGCGGAGCGTTGTCGGACTTGGATTTTCGATGATCTAGATCTGGGTAGCACCAGGAAGCCGGGATCGAAGGCAAAATTACCGGTGCCGGTGGAAGGAGGCCTCGTTCGCTCGCTTCGAGAGGTCAGAGGGCGATAGCGGTACCTTCCTCTCTGCGCGAAGAGTGGTAGGCCACTCTCGTCCTACCGCCTATCTCGCCGCGAGAATCGTGTGTTGGTACTCTCCACGCTCCAGTACAAACGTATTTCCCCGTTGCGCGCGAATGTATTCGTAGACGATGAGCATCGCGAGGTTGTATCCGAGCAGAGGAGGGCCAGGCCAGGAGTGTATTCGTGCAACGAATACCTGAGAGCAGCGTAATACCGACTACGTAGCTCGACTGCTCGACGTGGCGGACCAACTAGGTCTC